TAATTATCATATAAAATAACAGATCGTATAAAATAATTCTGTCCTGCTGATAAGATCACTTATCAGTGTCATTTGCTTTCTAAACAAGCAGCTTATTCCCTTTTTTTTTCCTCATTATTTGTCATTTCACCCTTTTCCATCTTGCAATTTCATTTTGTTACTTATATTTAAGTAACACTTAAAGTCATTAGCAATAAATTTTTTGCAACAATTTTATAAACATAATTAATTAATTACTCCGATGACAAATGATAAATGTAGAAAAGCAAAAACAGCTTAATCTCATCACTCTTCTATGATCGATCATTTTTCATAAAGTTAAATATGCAGTTAAAAGAAAAAATAAGCGACAATTGTAATAAAAAAATAAAGAATAAAACTTTCCATCTCTTAATTCAACCTATTTGCCACAATAATTTTTCTATCTTTATCATAAAATATCCATCTTTTTGATACATTCTTCGCAGCACTAATTCATCTCTTTTTTTCCTATCATAGATCATTCAGGCAGAAGTTGTTAGCTCAATTAAATCTTCTCTCATACTTCTTATCTTTCAATAATAAAAAAAAAAAAACCATAAAGATATATCGATATAGAGTAGAGCTAAACTAAAAGTAATCATTATTCATATTTTAAATATTACACAAAAAATCTTAATAGAAATTGTATTCCTTATAAAATATATTTCATATCAAAAATATATTTAAATTATACTTTCTAATTACTGATTAAATAATTATCATGAAATTAATCTCATCCATTATATATTCATAAATGATACAAATCAAAATAATTGATTCAAATTATCAAAAATGAAAAAAATAAATTAATTAGGGATTATGTTACACAAATAACAATTCAAAGAGAGAGAGGGGAAGAGAAAGAGAAAGAAAACATAAATTCTGAACCATAAATTATAACAAAATCGAACAATAATTCGTAGAAATATATTTTAGTACAATTTTATCCTTAATTTTTAGCATTTGCATAAGAAAAAAGGGAAGTAAACATAATTAAGAAACCAAAAAACTTTGAAAATCCGCCTTTCCAGGGTGGCATTAATTTCACTAATCGGAATTAGTCGCATGCTGCACCCAAACCCACTGCTAAATGATCCTTTGAGGGATTTATTTCGTGTGATTCAACTTAGGATAAAGTTATTTCCGTTACTCAGAATTCTCTAATTATCTTCCCAACTCTCTATTTTTATTAACTCTCATCGTCTTTCTCACACCATAAATACACTCTTCTCACTTCACCTATAATCATTAATTAGTTAATTAATTGCTATTTACAATTAATTTTATCTTCTGAGCATTTGGTAGAATTCGTTCGAATATTCTAGCCTATATCATAACAAATAAAAAGATGTCACCAGCATGAAGGTAGGTTATGAAGGTGGTTTAATAAAAATGTAATGTTAAACAAATAAGTTCAAATGATTTCATAATGTTGATCGAACCTAATCATTAAATTCGCTGTAACTCAAAACAATATTCACTAAATGAATTAATCATTTTCAACGTACATATTTATACTTAAAATTCATTTTTGCATTTAAAATGAATTAAAAATGATTAGATGGGATCAATTACTTTTGATTTTATTATTTATTAATATTTCAAAAAATTCTTTTCACAATTTTCTGCCGTGATAAACAAAGAGATGATACTAACATGAAAGAAAATCATGACCATGAAGATGGCGTATTGCCAGTAAATTCAAAATACTTTTATGACGTTGATTAATTTTATTTTTGTAACTTCATTAGTATTTTAAAATTTACATTTTCGTTAAATTTATAGTTTGAGCCATTAAGAATGTTGTTAGCTCCACTAATTCAAATCATTTTGAATGCATGGATTAATATTTTCTTACGTAATTATGTAAATCACTTAATTGAGGTCAATTTTTGGGATCAATTTTTTAAAAAAAATTAATTTATTATTTGACATGTAATGACTATCTGATTTTTTAATAATAACTAGAAATATTATTCGAAAATTGCTAAAACAACAAAAAATGAAATAATTTAAAATGAGATTTAAGAGAGAAAATGCATAGAAATTAAGCATACCGTTGTCCCGAAGACATAAGTTATAGCAGCATCTCACTGAAATGCTTTCTAGTTTGAATAGCATATGGCATTGAATATTGATATGCTTGCTTAATCGTAAGGAAGCACTGCAATTTATAAACTATATTTGATTATTGTTTATGAGAAAAGTTCACTTTGAAATTAGGTGAAGAATAAATTGTAATAAATAAATTGGAAATATAATAACAATAAGACATTATAGTAATTTAATAACACTACTACTAATAGTAATAACAATACTCAACACGCATGCAAGAACAATGTTAATAGAAATGAATGAAGCCAACAAAAAAAGCATGCACTTCAATATAAAAAAATGTCATAATAACAAATGGTATGAGTAAAGATACAAAATGCTGTAGTTAATGGAATTAACCGAAAAATGCATGCAAAAACAATGTTAATAAAAAAAAAAAAAAAACGATGAGAACAACGAAAAACAAAAGCATGCAATAAATAGAAAAGAAAAAACGCTTTAATAATAAATGGTGTAAGTAAGTTTACAAAACACATGCATGTTAGTAAAACTAACCAAGAAACGCATGCAAAAACAATGTTAATAAAAGAACAGCAAATAGTATAAAGTAACAAAAATCATGCAGTTAATAAAATTAACCAAAAAATGCATGCAAAACAATGTTAATAAAAAACGAGTGGAAAATAAAAGCATGCAATAAATACAAAAGAAAAGAGTGTACATCTTAATAATAAATGGTGTTAGTTTACAAAAAACATGCATGTTAATATAACTACCCAAGAAACGCATGCAAAAACAATGTTAATAAAAAAACAGCAAATGGTATAAAGTTACAAAAAGCATGCAGTTATAAAATGCAAAAAATGTAGGTGTTAAAAGCAAAAATAAAAAAAAAAAAAATAAAAAAACACGCAATTTGTAGAAATAGCCGAACACATGCATAAACAAAATATAAACAAAGAAATGATAAAAGTGACAATTTTTGAAACAAAAGAAAAAAAGATAGAAATTAGTGGTGATGAAACAAAAATAAATTAATACTAGTAGAATGAACAAAAGTTAGCAAAAAGCATGCTAGAGACAGTTTTAATAAAAAAAAAAAAAAAAAAAAGAGAAAAAAATGAAAATCGCAGCAAAATAGATGAATGAAAAAAAAAAAAAAAAACATGCAGTTAATAAAATTCAAAAAAAATTTTTCAAAAAAAAAACTAAAAAAAAGATTCCAAAAAGAAAATCCGAATAAAACAGAACTAATTTCAAAAAAGATTTTAACTCATTTCAAAAAAAAAAATTGAAAACGCAAAAATTAAAAAAAAAAAAAAAAAACAAAAACTAAATATTTTTGAGATCTTTTTAAAGCTTAAAGTTCTACCAATTCAAAAAATATCCTTAAAAATGAATAGAAATCAAAAGTTTTGAAATTTATTCCAGATTTCAGTAGGTCCATCTGAATTTCAAAACCATAAATTTTTTCTATATGCTTGGTTAATGTTATACTGACGAAGGAAGGTATAATTCTATACCTCCCTTCGACTATCCCTACCCTCCCTCCCACCACATACACACAAAGATAATTACAGAGGTAATTACAAATTGATATCAACTTATGATTTAGCTCAAAATAAAATTCAAAAATTAGACCTTATTAAATCCATCCTCTGTTGATTCCATCCTCTGAAACATTTAAAAAATATTTGAATTCAATTATAATTGCAGATTTAATAAATTTCTGCAATGAAAGTTTGCTTTAAAGTTAACTTTTAAAATCTAAAGTTAGCATAAAATGTCGAAAGTAGTCAAGCAGATCAAGTTTAATGCAAATAAAAGTAATCAATTAAGTTCAATAAATGTTTATTTTTAAATGAATTAGTAGTTCAAACACTTAATTAAATTGAAATTTGTTTGCTAGAACCAGAACTTATTTTTAAGTTTTATATAAAAGAACTAATACAAATTGCAGCATTTTCTTAATAATAAAAATTTAAATTTGAATTAAAATTTAATTTCAATTGAAAGAATGATTTATAACTATCACTATTTTAAAGTGATAGTTATAAATTATGACTTTGATGAACGGTCCCTTATCGTATGAATAGTGTGAGCAGTAATATTAGCACCATCAATAATATCATCCTTATATCTTTCTCTCTCTTGACCCCAAGTTTGGTTTTTTGATTAAACCAGCAACATTTATATGCATCTTATATTTATATGCAACATTTTATATGATATTTCGATCTTCCAGGCGCAGTTCTTCGATATTTCGATGTCCCAGGCGCGACATTCTTTTATTATTTTTTTCTTCCATTAATTCCATTCCTTTAGGCATATTATTTGAGTTTGGTGTAGGTGAAAAAGGTGGGAATAGAGATATTTGGAGGATTATGTTAGGAAGGCTATATAGATCGGTCGTGTATGTGTGTGTGTGTGTGTGTTTGTGTGTGTATGTGTATGTGTGTATGTGCATGTGTGTATGTGCATGTGTGTATGTGCATGTGTGTATGTGTATGTGTATATGTGTATGTGTGTGTTTGTTTATGTTTATCGTCAGGATGAACTTAGCTGATGCGAAAAGGAGAAGGATGAAGGGTTACTGTACGTATTTTTCATCTGTCACCAACAAAATGACATACTCGTTTCGATTTTTTTCCATTTCTCTGTCACACACATATAACTAACAAACATTTTAAGTGATGTCGTTTGTCTACCTCTTTAATAGGTTTTCTCATTCACTTTACGCATTAATTGCATCTTCTCCTTTTGTTGAGGTATCCATGACCACAGATTTTATAAATAGCGACGTTTTTGAACATTTTTCACCTTCTTTACAATTTGAAAAATATCTTCAAAGATTTAAAAAAAAAAATTTTTTTTTTTAATTTGGTTATGATATTTTTAGGAAAAAAATAGAGGATATCGGCAGAATGACAGCATTATCACAGGAAGAGATCTTACAAAGTACACGTACAGTTTTACAGGGTTTGGAAGCACTGAAGGATGAGCATGAATCGATCAAGGTAAATAGACAAATATTCCGATGATTTTCTGAAAAAGCGATCTTAGAATTCGTTTACTTTTCTAAACAATAGTTAGCATTACAGGGTACATTGGTGAGTAGTATTCAAGGATTGCATGCTGATGAATCGGCACTTATTGAGGAAAAGACACATATTGTGGACAGAAATTTGGAAATGTTACGCTTAGGCATCGAAGAAGCTCAGGTTAGAATTTAGTTTTTTTTTTTTTTTTTTTTTAACAAAAAATAATATTTTTCTTTTTTATTTTTTATATCTATCAGCAGAGTAAGTCAGTAAAAGTTCGGGTTTAATTTTATTAAAAATAATTTAGGTTATGATGGCATTAGCTGGTCATCTACAGACAGTAGAAGCCGAGAAACAGAAGTTGAAAGCGCAAGTACGAAGACTTTGTCAAGAGAATGCATGGCTTCGAGATGAATTAAATTCAACGCAGCAAAAGCTGCAAGCCACTGGACAGGTTTGTTGACTGATATTAATTGATATTAAAGGACGAAAAAAAAAAATTCCTTTTTTACGATTTTTTCTAATTTTTGAGCTTTTCTCTGGCAAATTTTTAACAATAATTAAATTACAGCAAGTAGCACAATTGGAAGAGGAAAAAAAGCACTTAGAATATATGAATTCGATCAAGAAATATGATGACCAACAGGTTACTGCATTTTGGTTTCTTATAATTTACGCAGCAATATTGAGTCTTCTATAAATAAGTATTAGAAAAGCATGTTATATGTTCGATATATAAAAATCTGTTAATATAATAGTCGTTTGTAAGCAATTATTTCTTTCGATAAATAGCTAAGAAATCAAGTTGATAAGTAATTTTGCTGATAATGCGGTATTCAGTAATGCAAGGAATTGGAAATTTTAAAAACTGCACAATGTTAAGCATTTAGCAAAATTTTGCTTTTAAAATGTTTCTTAGTTAGAAAATCCTTGAATCTGTGTTTAATGTTAAAAATATAATCTAAATTGTTAGATGAATTCAGGAAAATGACAAAACCATGGATCAGAACGACAATCGTAATGACAACACTCTTCAGGATTTAGGTTTTGGTCCAGAAGAAGACGAGGAAATAAGTGGTAATGCACATTTTTGTTATTTGCTTTCGTTACTAATCAATCCATTTAGTTATCAAGCTTTATCATTATTTTTTCACACATTCCTTATGAATACTTAGTTATACTCTGTATGCATTAGAAACTTACTAAAATTATGTCTTAATCTGATTTCCAGTTATACATTTTATTACTATTGTTTATAAGCTGTACTGTTATAATTTAGTTAATGAATAGAACAGCGATAGAATAAGTTGAGTTATAGGACACATGTCTGGGCAATTTGCACATCCCACACCTGCTCATTCGATGGCAGCAAGTGCATCTGCTGGCTATGAAATTCCAGCTCGTCTTCGAACTCTGCACAATTTGGTAGATATTTTTTAAATTAATTCCAACAGTTTTTCGAAATGATCATTGAGCTATTGATTTGCTAATAATTTTATAGGTAATACAATATGCATCACAAGGACGGTATGAAGTAGCAGTACCTCTTTGTAAGCAAGCTCTGGAAGATTTAGAGAAGACTAGTGGGCACGATCATCCAGATGTCGCAACTATGCTTAATATTCTAGCTCTTGTTTACCGGTAATTCTTTTAATTAGCAAAAGACACGATGTTATTGACTATTAATATGGTTTTGATTAAAATAACTATTTCCATTAAGTTATTTGTGAAATAAAAACGTTTGAATTGTTTTCCCAGATTGACTTAGATTATTTCGCAAAAGATATCATGGGAAATATTTATATGAATTTTAGATCTTAACATAAAAGTGCAGAATAAATGGTAGATAATCTTGAAAAGATGTATGTCTGTCTAATATTTTAATATATGTTTTCTCGTTATAACTAGATTCAATATTTTTCCTTTTTAGTGATCAAAACAAATATAAGGAGGCAGCTAACTTACTAAACGAAATGCTTCGTTTAGATGCTTCGTTTAGTAAGTTAGCTGCCTCCTTACATTACGTGAAAAATGTCTTGGTGAAAATCATCCCGCTGTTGCGGCAACACTCAATAATCTGGCAGTGTTATATGGGAAACGGGGTAAATATAAGGATGCAGAACCACTTTGTAAGAGAGCTTTGGAAATCCGAGAAAATGTTCGTTTTGTAATTGGGATTTCAAATTTTTTTTTCGAAAAAATCTAAGATTTCATCATAAATGTAGAACCTTTTTGCGAAATGCCAGGATGTGGCTAGTAAATTATTCAGTGATGAAGGACGACATCATTTAAGTGTCATTTGTTATTTAAGCATTTAAGTATTTAAGTTCATTTTGCTATTATTAAGCTATAAATGTACCTTTTAGAAGTACTGGTAATTGTCCATTACGAATACTTTTTTTAGGTGCTGGGCGCCGATCATCCAGATGTTGCTAAGCAATTAAATAATCTTGCTTTGATCATTTCTTCCGAATATGGTAACTTAGATTATACCCGACTTAGCAGATAAGATGGTAGCAACATCAATGGTCAAAGGGGACAACTGTGAGCTATGTAAAAGATTTAGCAATATATCGTATAAATAGAACAGTTAAACCACAGTTCTCTAAAATTTTATACAGAAGCCAAATTGGCAAAAATGAATCATTTAAATTCTTCGTACTGTAATTAAATATCTTATGAGCATTACAAAATTCCCTACAAATAAAGAAATATCAACTTCAGATTTCTCTACAAACATAGGAATATCACACTTCAGAGAAATTGAAAATATACATAAAAACAAATCGGCATACATTCATTTACATTTTTATAAAAAACCTAATAAAATCAGCGACGAAATTGGGACTTACGAAAATTAACTAAAGAAATAGTGAAAATAGTGGATGCAACTTTAATACTATTGAAATTCTAAAGTAGTGAAATGAAAGTAATGGCATGAGAAAAGGAAAAATAGTTAAGCTAAAAAGAACTAAAAAGAAAAAACACTTTTTTAGAGAAATCAAAGTTTAAAACTTGGGTACAAAAATGAACAATGCTGTAGTATTTGAAATAAGCCAGCTCTATATTACTGCAATTTTTCCATCAAAATCCATAAAAAGCAAATAACCACCACAAAAAAAAAGAAAAAAAAAAAAAAAAAAAAGTAGTAAATAATAAAAAATAAAAATTCACAAAAAATGACGAAAAAAACGAAACAACAAATTAGCATTTAGCAATACAAACCGAAGGAAAAGAAGATCCAGGTAATGATTAAGAATTTTTTTTTCTTTTTTTTCAATATTAAGTTTGTGGTGGTTGTTGTTGTTGCTGTTGTAGACCAAGTGCATTGAATAAACGTGATTTTAAACCAGATGATGATTGTGATTGAGTCATACCACGATGTATTTGTGAAGCAGTAGCAGTAGTAGTAGTAGGTGACATTAACGAATCATCCGCATATGTACTAGTAGCTGTTAATGCTGACTGATGACCAGACACAGGCGGTTCATGCTGCAAATAATCAAAAACTATACACTACATTCACTTGAACAAACAATCATTAAGTTTTCTTTTCTTTTTTCCTTCTATGAGGAAAAAAGAAACTTGCAACAAGATAAAACCAAATAGAGAGAAAGAAAAAAAAAAACACATCTATGATATAATCTCTTTTACGGGAATATCGTATTCAGCAAAAAGAAAAAAAAATAAAAAATAAATTTCTAGAGATAATTAAATACCGAAAAAGCTAGAATAATTTCTGATAAAGCTTGATGTATGCTAAGAAGTGTACTAGTAAAATAATGATTACATTACGGTTCCAAATACTCACATGCATCTTTCTATAAAGGACGCGCATTTGAGACTTTTTATACTCATTTAAAATTAAAAGACTAAATTTTCGTAAATACAAAAACTATATTAAACAAATTCAATTATAAAGGCTTAAAATGACAAGGCTTGAATCTTTTCTAAAGTAATACAAAATTAAAAGCTACTATTTTAGTGTACGTTTTAAACGAGACCTATATTAATCTATCTAAGTTTATTTTTACATAAAGGTAAAAATCCTAACTGTGATGCTTATATATCAGTCACTCATTGATAATAACACTACTAAGTAACCAAATAAATTACTTAGCTTCATTACCTCTTTTACTGAAATTTATAATACCAATGCAACATTAAAATATGTTCAACCATGTTGAAAAGCACTGTCGTAGAAAAAGATGGCAAATAGCAGTAAGCAAAATAAGAATAAATTTCATCTTTTTTAGTCCATAATTCGGAACATACAACTTTAGGGAAAAACTTTCAAACATCTAGAAAAATCTTGTATAATCGATTAGATAAATAATTTAGCAATAATCAAATGGAAATTGGAAAAAATTCGAGATTATTAAACGATTAGAAATTAATGGTCAAAAATAAAGATTTGTTCTGAAAGAAAGAGAAAGTAATATTTACAGCTTGCTGAACTGCTGTAAAAATGTAATTACAGAACGATTGAAATGATTAACAATTTCTGAAAAAAATGATAACGGTAAAAGTTTTAAGCAATAAGCTAATAAGAAATTGACGTATAATATAATATGCACTCTATATCTATAGCTTTTTTTTTTGCAGCTAAGTTAAAAATTAAGTTAAATTAAATTAAATTAAAATATATACCTTATTTCAACACGGTATATGCAAAGAATGAAAAATGAAAGAATAATAATTTAGTGAAGAGATTAAATCAACTTCATCATATTTCAATGATTGAATAATTTTGAAACTATCTTTTAAAACATGGAATTTCTTTTCATATAAATATTATAAATAACATCCAAAAACATCTTCCTTGTTCATATTTCGACAAATCGGCAAGCATAATAATGACAATGAAGCAAATTTAAAATTTCTACAAATTTAACTAAGAAAATATATACTTCATTAAAAACAAAATATTGGACAATCAGATGCCTTTTTATAGAAGAAAGTAATGAAATCAATAGTTAATTGATCTCCAAATCAAAAAAGAAAGGAAAAGAAAGGACAATCTACTTATATTACAAATCAATGCTACAAGCTTTTTTGCGCTCAAAATATGGCTATCAACGTTGAAAAAAAAAAAAAAAGGAATAAAAGAATCAAGAAATATAAAATGGATTCAAATCCAAAAATAAATTTATTCAAAAAAAAAATCTTAATTCCTCAAAAAAAGAAACTCAAGTTACGGCGTACAAATAACTATTCAAATAATGGCCGTTGGATTTTCCTTTCCTACGGTATAACAATACTGTGGTTAGTTCAGTGATATTTGGTGTTGCATGTAATATAGTATTCCTGCATTTGCGCTAAAAAAAAAGTCCGCCTCAAATTGATTGCAGATTTATAAAATTAATAGTTATTTGTACGCCGTAACTTGAGTTTCTTTTTTTGAGGAATTAAGATTCTTTTTTTTTTTGAAGAAATTTATTTTTGGATTTGAATCCATTTTATATTTCTTGATTCTTTTATTCCTTTTTTTTTTTTTTTTTTTTTCAACGTTGATAGCCATATTTTGAGCGCAAAAAAGCTTGTAGCATTGATTTGTAATATAAGTAGATTGTCCTTTCTTTTCCTTTCTTTTTTGATTTGGAGATCAATTAACTATTGATTTCATTACTTTCTTCTATAAAAAGGTAGTGTTATTATCAATGAGTGACTGATATATAAGCATCACAGTTAGGATTTTTACCTTTATGTAGAAATAAAGATAAACTTAAATAGATTAATATAGGTCTCGTTTAAAACGTACACTAAAATAGTAGCTTTTAATTTTGTATTACTTTAGAAAAGATTCAAGCCTTGTCATTAAGCCTTTATAATTGAATTTGTTTAATATAGTTCTTGTACTTACGAAAATTTAGTCTTTTAATTTTAAATGAGTATAAAAAGTCTCAAATGCGCGTCCTTTATAGAAAGATGCATGTGAGTATTTGGAACCGTAATGTAATCATTATTTTACTAGTACACTTCTTAGCATACATCAAGCTTTATCAGAAATTATTCTAGCTTTTTCGGTATTTAATTATCTCTAGAAATTTATTTGTTTTTTTTTTTTTTTTTTGCTGAATACGATATTCCCGTGAAAGAAAGAGATCATATCATAGATGTGCTATTTTATTTCTTTTGGTCTTCGCCACAACGACCCACAGCGTTACATGGTGCCTTAAATGCTGATTGATTCCAATAATGTATTCCAAATCGGGGTCTCATATAATTTCAACATTCTTTCATTTCTGCATAGGCTTTTTTTCATGTTCATAACAATTATTGTAATTTTAATATAACTATAAGGTTTCTTTTCTAATCTTTCAAATCCAACTTTCTGTTCTTATATGATCTTTTGCATCCTTTTCACTTCCTTTTCTCTTTATAATGAATAATAATAATAATTGATAGTAATAAATAACAATAATTATAAATCTATTGAAAAAAAGAATATTGAAAAAAATTTAATTCAAATCATTAGTTAACTAATCGATGATATCTGTCTTGGTACATCTGATTAATTTACAACGATTGCAGTGAAATGTTATGATATGATCAAATTTCAGAGGAGATTGAACAGAACGATAATTTAATCGTTGAAAAATAAAGTGAGTGAAATGTGATCTGAAATTATGTGCAAATTTAAGAGTGCTTTTCAAAATTTATCCTAGTACTACTATCACTTGAATACTTCTCAAGTTTCTTCAAAATTTTTTTATTTTTTTAAATAAAAACTCTTTTAATAAGTGAAGTTACTCTCTTAAGAAGTTACTTTGTTAAGAATTTGCTATAATTCATAATGAATGAATGAATGACTAAAATACAAAAATAAAATTATGCATTTTTCAATTAAACTAATATTTTTACTAGCGATGCTATTTGTCTTTTTTGTATCACTGAGGAAAATTTTTACATTAAAATAAATTTTAGAAATAGAAATATTAGAATAAATTTTAAGGATTAATTTTGAAGAATTTTTTCTTTATATTCTAAATTATTTAGATTACATTATTCACACCAATTTCTATACTAAAATTTGTATAAAAGCCTAAACGATTCAAAAATAATTGTTTTTGTTTTTTAAAAAATGATTTATAAAAAAAAAATGATTCATTTTAAAATATTTTAAATTTTCAATTAATTTTTTGCAAGAAGACAATTATCAAAAGTAAAAATATAAATTCTTCCATTTTGGAAGAATTTATATTTCTCTTTCTCATCGACAATTTTCAATACTGTCAAATATAAAAAAACAAATATGAAAAAGCGAAAAGCAAAATGTCAAAAGAAAACAGAGTGACACAGTTTGAATGCAGTGAAGCATACTAAACAATAACATGCGGATTATTGGCTAGCTTTTTGCCTAGCTTCTTGGCTATTATCTTCTTGGCTAACAGTTTAATATATACTAAAGAGCCAAATGATTATTGAGAAGAGCTAAATTAAAATTATAAAAAAAAAATGTCTCTGCTTTAGAATGAAAGCTAATATGAAACCTAAATGAAATTTTATTGCTATTTATAGAAGTAATTTTAGAATATAGCTAAAAGGGATTAACTGTTAACTTTCAATAAATAAATCAATAAATTTCATTTATTGATTTTCAATAAATCAACAAAAAAATTTCATTTATTCCAATTTATAATAATTTCTTCTTAAATACTTTTCAAAAGACAATAACTAATCTTTTTGGGACTTTTTAGTTCTTAAAATACAAAAATTAATTCTTAATACTTGTTTAAAAAAAAAAATACACAAATACAAAAATTAATTTTCTCCGTAATATTTGTTTACTCGCAGATGAAAAACTAAAACAGTACAAAAAAAAAAAAAAAAAAACGGAATGATTATAGCGTATATTCATGATAGATTTTTAATTCAACATTACTTGAAAATAGATTATCATTAAAGGTAAACATCCTTCTTGATTTTATTGATTTATCATTAAAGATAAACAATTTTCTTTTTCAGTATAAAATAAGCTAATCAATTCTTATTTTAAAGCTAATCATTTACCTGATTATGATAGTTCTTATTATGGAATTCGAAAATATAATTATGTGATTAATTATTATGTGAAAAATAAAAAAAAAAATATTCGATCTAATTAATTTGTATTAATGAATTTTATATCTTGGATGATAATTTAAAGTAATTTTCTATTACAATGACAGTTGACAATTCCTGAGTAATGTTAAACCGTCTAACAAAATCAAAAAGAAACAAAATGAACAAATTCAATAAGTACAATGCGCTTGTCAACTAGCGCCTCCTCACTATAAACTGAAGCATTCAATTCATTTGTCACATTTATTTTGAATGTGACATTTTGTTCATCCATTGTTTATTTCTCATAAAACGATATAAAAAGGAATTGCATTTTATATAAAAATTCAATTATGTTATTATTTTTGTTAAAAAAAAAAAATCAAAAAAAAATGTATTTATTTATTACAAAGTGATTGTTTGCTAATTAACGTGAAAAGTTAAAAATGAAAACGTGAAATTATGTATAAAAAAACTGCTGTGTATAAAAGCAATGATAAATGTTATCAATGATATCAAGCATAAAAATAAGTAATCATTAATGATAATGATTAAAATATAAGAAATATTGAGCGCAGCTACTATTATCTAGTTTCATCTTAAAATTTTAGTTCGAAAATAGTTGAAAAAAAATTAAACTTACATCTAAATTTATTTATTATAAATCAATTCATTTTGAATAATTGACTGATGATATTGATATAAATAATGATAATAAAGTATTCTCATTTCTCATTTTAGTCAATATTTTTATCACTCGAATATTTTTGTATCATTTGATAAAAAGTGATATTAATCCATAGATGTAATTTACATATTCAATGCTACAATCATTTGTATTATTTACTACTGATACCAATTAATTGATACTGATATGGGTTAACTGATACTGATGCCAGTTAATTGATACTGATACTAATTAACTGATACTGATACCAGTTAACTGATACTGATACTGGTTAACTGATACTGATATTGGTTAATTGATATTGATACTGGGAACTGATACTGATATTGGTTAATTGATATTGATGCTGGTTAATTGGTACTGATACTGGTTAATTGGTACTGACACTAATACCAGTTAATTGATACTGATACTATTCAACTAACACTAATACTAGTTAATTGATAGTAACTGATGAGAGACTGATACTAGTTATTTTCACAGTGACTCAATTGTGCCGGATTAGGAAACTGAATAGTTAGTTTTCCTGAGAGACTGGGGACGAGAAGTATTGGAGGGTAAGAGTTATAAAGTTATAGGATCGTTGTATTTTGGCTTGTGGAAAGATGAAATATAAGAATCATAGAAAGTTGTTTATGTATTTTATTTTTATTTATAGTTTTTTTTTTTTTTTTTTTATTTATTTTGATTTATTTGTTTCAGATATGATAAAAGGAAAACGTTCATTTCCAAAGCGTCAAAATAATGTTAGAGTATTAAATTCATCACGTGTTGAGGAATTTGATATATCCGATCATAATCAATCCATAGATAGCATAAATGAACTTTCTGCATGTAAAAACTTCTATTATTTGATGTTAACTTTTTAATATTAACTAATTTTTTCTTTTTTTTTTTTTTTTGATAAGAAAATTCTGAATTTTGAATATACAGTAATAACTAATTATTGAGAACTAATGAAATAAGTTGGTTTCAAATTGGTAGTATTAGTTGTGTTTCAAGTTTTGCTGTAAATTTGATCCTACGACAAATTTTTATTGTATTGTTGATTCAGAACAACGAAGAATTTATGATGATGGAAGCTTTGTCTTTTTTCTAGTTTTTTAAATTAAAATGTTGAAATTTCTAGATGAAGTTTTGTCGCTTAGAAAAAAGACAGAAGATGGTATTAAGTCCAATTTGAATGAAGAAAGAGTGGCATCAAGTTTAACTAGTAGAGCAGAAGTCAGTTAGTTTTTATTTTGATCTTTTAATATATATTACTTCAAAGAATCAAGAAGACTTAATTTTTGGAATTAAAAGAAAACTATGATAGATGCTAGTAGAAGCTATGTCTTGATATCATCTCGTTGAAGCGATAACAAATTAGACAGGGAATACTTAATTTGTCAAAAAATGAAAAAATAAAGAAAGACTGAACACAGAAAAGACAGGGATAAAACTATACCAAGTTTTTCTGTTTGTTGAATATTGCAAATGTTTATAATTAATCCATGAGTTAAATTTGAAAACTGGAAAGGTTGCTTGTTAATTCTGGTTTGAAGCCCCATATTATTGTATTATTATACCGTTACAAAGTTTTCTTTAACTATTAATTTCTTTAACTTTAACTATTTTAATTATTAATCTTTTCTGTGGTTCAGAGAAACAGAACTATATGCAAATATCGCATTTCTATTGTTTTACTTTAAGAAAAAGTTTAGGACAATAAACCATGCAGAGATTTCGTTAAAAGCGATAGAAACGTGCTAGCGTCGGATTTTCTGTCTAAATACGGTGAGGAAACGGATGAAATGAACAAAACTAAGAAAAAGCAAAAAAAAATAATGAAGAAGGAGATTCGAAAGAGAACTAAGCGGAAACGTAAGTTAGTTCATCATATTCTTTCATTGATTTATCAACAATATTGCACGTAAATTCTTAATCCTTTATGCTAATAGAAATAGCTATACATGTTGAAATAAATTACAAATATATTCCTAATACAAGTGAAAAAGTCGAGTTACTTGTAACTACTATTAGTTTATCTAGAGGGTTAATCAAATTTGAAGTTTTCGAGACTAACCTAATGAGTTGGACTTTAAGCCTGACTCACCGATTTATATCGTTACTCCAGGGATGCTTTATTGAAAGAATAAATCGGGGACTGTTTCTTGAAATTTGCGAATAGCTCCTTCTGCTACGAGCGACCCATTGCAGTTTAAAATGAAAAGTTGCGACTATGTTCAATTTATCTCTGAATAATTTGTATACTAAGATGTTGGAAAGTTATTTTTACTGCATCAATAATGACGGATAGGTTACGGTGCAGACGTCACCCATTTATAAATATTATTTTCCAGGTAAATCAGTTAATAAAAGAGAACTAAGTGGTTCAATTAAAACATGGATACCGACACATTCAGGTAGTAGCGTCTTCAGCTCATTATTTAGGAATTGTGATGATTCGAAAGAAATGCAGGATTCAGTGAGCCAAAACATATCTGACAATGCATCGCAAAATTTTGAAAAAAAAAGAAAAAGGAAAATGCAAAAAGAGGTTGAAAAAATATATTCAGTTATTTGGAAAATATCAGATTCAATTTAAATTCTTATCAAACATTGTTCTGAAAAGTCAAATGCAAGTGCTTTTCATAGGATTTCATAATCAGTTAAAGAAAGATAACAAAACTAATCTGATATATGATTTTTTTAAATTAATTTTTGTAGGAAAAGAGGAATTAAATAATTTTGATTTTCATTACTGAAAGCTTTACTCTCAGTGATAGTAGAAGTCGTTTTGGATAGAAAATCTGCACTTTTATTACTTTGTATGGTGTTAACTTGCAAAATAATTATGCAGATTGTCGATTGTTTGAGTGAAGGAGAAGAAATAGAGGAAATTAAAATCGTAAATCTTTCGGATTCAAGCCATGGAAGCTCTTTTGAAAGTGACGAAATTAATGAAGACAAAAATATGGTGGATGAAGAAGAGAATGATGAAGAATTGATTGATGGTGAGATTAATTTCAATTTATTTTTCGTTTTTTCAAATCTGAAATATGTACACTATTCAAATGCAAGTAATATTTACCGGATTTGCTTCCAGAAAGAAGTACAAATAGTGCGGTTCGTGAAAATTTTGTAAGGTGTTACGGAAAAGAAAAGGATGAAGATGCCAGTGACGTAGTAATCGATTTTGAACAGAAGCCTTTCTCAACTCATTGTGATTCAGTACAAAATGGATTGGATGCGATCCAATGGCTTATTGATCCCTACGACCTAACACAGTTTTTCAAGTTTGTTGTTACATACTTATTGAAATTCTGCCTGTCGAAATTTATTTAAATTGATTCCTTTCATATGAAATATTTCAGAATGGTATTTCAAAAGAAAGTATTTCATGTTTGCCATAATAACCCGAATTACTACGGCAATTTATTTAGCACAGCGAAATTTATCGACATTCTGCAAACGGTTCGTATGTTAGATTTTAATTATTAATATTTCTTACTTGTGATTTAATAAATTTTAAAATCTTGTAAAAAAATTGAAAGTTTAGGATTATGTTGAATACGGTACCAATGTGAATGTTGCTATTTACAAGAATCAGCAAAGGTCAACTTTAAATGGTTCTGGAAAGGTTTATCCTCAAGCAATACAAAAAAGTATTAAGGTATGAAATCGCAAATTTCTGAGAATTATTGTTTTCGTTTTAAGCGAAGAAGCCAAGCAATTTCACAGTAGCAGATATTGAAGTCTTTTATATAATTTTCTGGGTAACATGCTTTTTTGTGTTTTAGGCTGGTTGTTCAATACAGCTTACAAATCCTCAAAGCTTCTGTGACAATGTTTGGTACTACTGCGATTTGTTACAGGAAGTATTTGGTTGTTTTGTTGGAGCGAATATGTATGTTCTTTTTCATTAGTTCTTTTTTTTTTTTCTTTTTAACAAGTTGAACTGCTTCATATTCTGTTTGAAATCTTAAAGTATTGAAGGAAAATGAATATGCATCAAGCACTTTAAAGAAATAGAATTAGAATTGTAAGAGTGCTCTGGAATTAGACAGTAAATATAATTGAAATGAAATTAATATATTTGATGCATTTAATAAATAGTTTGTTTTGTATCTGTTTCTAAAATGTTTTCTTGAAACTCCATTTCAATTAATTGCTTTTCAAATTCCATTTTCTTAAAAAAGTGGTTATTTACTGTCTCTTTTTTATTTTTTAACCTTACAGTTATATAACTCCCGCAAATACGGCTGGCTTCGCCCCTCATTGGGACGACATCGACGCTTTCTTGCTTCAATTGGAAGGGCGAAAACATTGGAAAATATATGCACCGGATAGTGATGATGAGATGCTTCCTCGATTACCCAGCGGTCTGTATTAATTTTTTTGATGCATGAAAACTTGTAAAATGATATTGTACAATTGATATTCTTGTTTAGGTAATTTTACGGATAATGATGTTATTAATCGTATGCTTGTTTTTGATGATTGGTTGGAGCAAGGCGATATGTTATATATTCCGCGAGGTTATATCCATCAGGTTAGTAGATATACTGAACAATTTTTTATTGTGAAATACTGTTGTGCAATTTTATCGATTTTTTTCTTTTTTTTTTAGTTCAGTTAGTGTTACTATTTTGATATTAAATTATATAATTTCCTTAAAACATGTGTAATAAATTGATTGATAGCTATTTCATGATATATTTTACTTAATAGATTTTTCTTATGGTAAAATACGATGCATATTGAAATATTTCACTAATTTATATGTTTGTGCTGTTATTTTATTCATTAAATCTATAGGGTTTCGCAGACAAAGATGTTCATTCGTTGCATCTCACTGTTAGTGTTTGTCGCAATGTCACATATGCTGATCTCTTGGAACGTGTCATCCCTCCTGCACTATCTAATTTTGCTGAGCAAAATGTAAACATTCGTAAATCATTACCAGCTCGTTATTTAGATATGACAGGTGTATTGGAATGTGACTATCCACTATTGAAAACTGGTACTATGAAGTATGCATTTCATGAATTTTATGTTTAGCAAAAATATGAACTTATATCATTAGAATGAAAGACAAATTTTAAGTAGAAAGGACTGAATTTGATAGCTTAGGAGGTATGACATCTTAAAAATTCGTCCATTTGAAAATTTGAAATGTGTTTAATACAAATGAAATGAGAATCATGTATTTGTTGTATAATATAATAAAAGGCAAAGTTTAAGATTACATCGATTTCTGGATAGCATCTTTTCAAATTTCTGCAAATATATCAAAGAGTTAAGTGAACCGGCTGTTGATATGATGGCCAGGGAATTTATGAGAACGGCACTCCCACCTGTACTCACTAAAGGTAACTAGTTTTAAACTCAGAATTTCAATTCTATGTGTTCCTATAATGAAAACTAAACAATCTCGTCTGTGCTTGTTGTTCAATGTTCAATCTAAAAGAATTTCCGTCACACCATAATGTGTTTAGTGTAAATAAAACGTAGAAATTAGATGTTTTCAACTCCTCATGGCTATAAAAAATTAAAATTTACATAGTGTTAAATTTGAAATTCTCATCTTTTTTTAATTTCCTGTTTATATTTTAAAGAGGAGAAAGATATGACAGCGTTATGCGTTGCCGGTTCATCGTTGTATGGTGATAAGGAGCATATTTTCACAAAGAATACGTCAATCAAACTTTTAAGAAGACATGGTCAAAGGTGATTTCTACAGTTATTCTAGGATAATGTTTGACACCAGTGGTGTCATGATATAGTTTATCAAAACTGTCGTATCATGGTATCTAGAAAGATACGATATCAGTTATTCTTCTTTACTTTTTGAAATGAAATGTTACTGTAATAATCATTTACTAACCTTTTTTCCAGACTTATTTATGAATCGGAAGAACGTTGCTTTATTGTACACCGCATGGCAAATTCAAGAGTTTATGAGGGAAGACCGGAAGTTTTATTTGATCTGGATGTAGAAGTAAGGCTTTATCTTATTCATAATATAAGGTTGGATTTCTGGTTAGGTTGCCCAAGTTATATCAAATTTGATTTTCAGCTTGCCGAAGGATTTGCAAATTTAGTGAACGCTTATCCTCGCTGGTGCTTAGTATCGGATTTAAAATGTAATGATGCAGCCGACAATATCAGATTGGCCGAACTTTTATATAGCAATGGATTACTTATGGCTGAATTTCGAGAAGCTATGAAATGAAATTAGATTATTTCGATCAATTAAAAGATAGTAATTTGCTTCCTTGCTCTATCAATGTAGCAGCTAGCATATTGTTTTTGATCTTAAGCGAATTTATCGCATTCGCAATTCTTTACAATCGTTTTCTCAGAGCTGTAAATGGTCTCCTTACTTTCCGTTCCTTACAATGATTAGATTTTTTCTCCAGTTAGCAGACTGAATGAATGAAAAGTTTCATTTACTGCACAAGTTGTATTTTAAATTGATTACGTAATCGAATTGACTATATTTCACATCGTCAAGTTTACCTGTTATTGTTATTCTTTGGGTTTAATAACGAAAAATATCATTTTATGATGTTGTTTGGCTAACTTTATCGTATTATTGGTATTAGTTGGAATTCTTTATATATTTTGTTGAGTGAAATATCATTTTTTTTTCTTTTAATTTGAATGAAAACTTTATCTTCCAGTTATTTATAAGAAAAATTTTTTGAATCAGTTTCAATAGTTGTTTAATTTCGATGCACATCCTGAATTTCATTTAGGTGTTTTTCCCTAATTTAGTATTCTTTTTGAAAATTACATGTATGCCGTCGGCAATATTCATCAAATAATTGTATACGCGGGGATCTTTTGAAGCTTTCTGATTTGTTTCATCGACAGCTGCCGTGTTGCGATCTTTTATATAACCAGATCCTTTGACTACACTTCCACCCCATAAGGCCTGGAAAATCAAGCTTTCTGATCTAGATTATAAAATTCAAAATTTGGAATCGAAATTTACAAATTACAGCAATGTTTCCACAAATTTCGGTAGACTTACATTATCAATTAAAATAACACCTCCAGGTCGCAGTAGATTAACCGATTGATCATAATATCGTGGATAATTAATTTTATCAGCATCGATAAATACGAAATCCCATTTTCCAGCTTCTCCAGAAGCAAGCATTGCATCTGAAAGCTGAAAATTAAAAATTGTCTTAAATTAGTTTGTTGTGATTCATACATTTTGGAAAGAAATGAAACTAGTTTTTAGAAGTCTGAAGTTTTCCAACATACCATAAACATTTTGAACATCAACTTCTGTTAATGTTGCTAGAAAATTGTTGTTCATTTCTTGCATTTTTGCTTCAAAATGGTCAAATTTTCATTTCAAAAGTATGCTTGCCTAGTTTTTGCGCCGCTAATCCAATATGCCGTTTGATTTTTGGATAAATATCTGGTCTAGCTTTAATAAAATCACGACTGATGCTATTATAGCTTCCCGGATAGATATCGATTGTTAGTACTTCGCTTCCCTTGGGCATTGCTAAGGCCCAGGCTACTGCTGATGAACCAGTATAGGTACCTAGAAAGTATCAATTCTGACCTACTTGGCCAAACAAAACACAGTAAAACAAAGATTGTAGTGAAATTCGGAGGGAAGTCTGTGATAACAATAAAGTTTTATCTATAGATGAAGAGATTTGCCAAATATGAGAAATTAACTTTAGAAAAATTTCGAAAATCTAAAAAATTTGGACTTCCAAGCTGAGAATAATTTTGTTAGCTCGAAGAATTTGTAAACGTTGATGTTTACACCTATATCGATAGCTTTTTTAGCTTGTATTAAATGTATAAGATTTTGGCCAAGTTGAAGCACTTCTGGAGCTCCAATCATTCCTCCATCTGGTAGATTCAGTGTTCTTTCAAAAATAATTTTTTGAATTGGATCCATTTTGACTGATATCTGAAATATAAATATATAAATATAAATATAATGAAATATAAAGACAAAGGTGTGATTATTAGTTCCAATAAACTTTTAAATAATTGATAAATTAAAAAGAAAAATTCAATTCATAAATATCTTATTTGATAAGATATGTAGCTCTTATGTAGTAGCATCATCAAGTTTGTTTCATAAGAAATGAAATTTTAATTTGAATTTAAATTTAAATGAATGAAATAAATTTCTTTTCGTATTTTTCTTCCTCTTACTTCAATTATCATTATTAGTTCTGTCATCAAAAATGTGCTACAATTTGCTGACTTACTTGTAATTTTGCACTTCTCTTATCTAATATTTAATTTAAATTTTACACTTTTTTTAAAATAGAAAATAAATATTACTAGAATTAGAAGAAATTAAATGATATGAACTAATAGTGACATCATGAATATCTTTGAAAATGTTTATTAATTAAAAATAAGTATGAATGATTACAAAAATGCTATTAGCACTTACATTGACGCAGTATCCATAAATGCTATTACTACGCCATGGAATTATACTTGCAAAGCTTATCACAAAAATATTTGATAGTATCACTAATATACAAATAAACCATTTCATTATTAAGATGTTGTTGATTGGTTTGATCATTCTGGAGGAATAGTTGTTCGTTTGAGAAATTGAAATAAAAAAAAAATTTAATCGATTTTACCATATACAATTCTGTACTTCATTGCCATTTAACTTAACTTTTGCACTTTTTGAAATAGGAAGTATAGGCAAAATAGGAACAATAACTGTTAAATTTGCAAAGATTTTCTTTTTTCTTTTTTGTAATAACTGTTTTAAAATCTTTGATGTCAATTTTGAAAAATGTTTATAACAGCTTATTAATCAAAGCAATTATTAAAAAAAAAAAAATTTTCCTCAAAAATTTGATAAATAAAGTGATGAATTTTGATATGATTTCGAGAAACTTAGATCCTGTAAATAAATATAAGTCATTAATAATATATTATTTTAGATTATCATTGATAACACATTATTTTAGAATGTATTTTAGAATCTCTTGCAGCCATTCATTAATTTTTACCTGTGAAATTTTCATAGGTAGAAAATTTCAGTGAATTAAGTAAGTGAAATAAGTGATATTTTAGCTTCTGATAAGAAGTTCTTATCTCTCGAAAGTTTAAGAGAGCATTTTTAAATTAAATTAAATTCCATCCATTGCTACCTTTATATGATTTCTTAAAAGCATTGCTTTACTTATTATACTAATACTAATATCATAGTAACATTTATAATACTTATACTAATACCATTAACAAACTTGCTAATCATATTTTTTTGGAACTCTGATAAGACTATCAGAGTTTATCAGGCAAATCACATAAAATTACCTTAAAATCTCAAGTGATATCACAAACGATCTATCAGTTCTTGACGAATTACCTAATATTAAGATCAAAAAATTCATAAAGTGAACGGAATATTAACGCAAATGTCTATTTACCCAATGACGTAAACATTGTAATAAATGTTGTAAATCTGTCAGATCGAATTGATGGTAAGAATATCACTTTTGAAATTCCTTCGAAATATACTCACGTGATATGTTCAAAACTTTTTCAAGTTTTCAGATGTGTAATCTTTTCTTTTTTTCACTGACCGATATTTCATTTTTTTATTTCACAAAAAGAATTTTAACAAAGGGCAGATTTAGAAAAATCAAAATAACATATATTCGTTGAGTGAATTAATATACTACAAGTATAGTATGTGATAAAGCACAAACAAAAATTCACTTGCAATGAAATTTTCTACTTTTACAACGGTTATACAAAAATTTCCTATGCTCTAGATAAACTATGGAACGATATAAATTATTTAAATTAGAAAATGAGGTGAATATTATTCGTGATACATCACTGTTAAAAACAATGATAAAATATTAGAAAAAAAATTTAGGGCTAATATTTCTTAAAATGAAGGTTAAACATAAAAAAAAAAAAAATTCTTCCAAATTCAAACCAACATTAACCAATGAATTAATCTTCAGGAACTAAAGTATCATTTTTCATTCGATAACCTCTATCATCAAACTCTGATAGGGATGATGCATAAGTTGAATTCCAATCTCGCATGAAAATTTTTTCATTTAAATTAAGAATTATTTCCGAATTTAATGTCGTGTTATGTTGTCGAATTACAACGCTGGCGCCTGCAGTATTGATAAAGTAATCAGCTGACCAGTTCGATGTGCCTATAATAGTGATAGAATGCAAAAAACTACGAAAAGTACTATAGCACTTTTATTTTGGCAAGAATTGACTAATAGAATTCTACTTTCTCAAAGTTAACTAATTCAAGTTGTTCGATTCATTGCCGTGCATAAACGAAAACTTGTTCAAATTTTCTATACAACCGAAGATTATGTAAGAGAATCTAAGGTGTCATCTTTTAACAAATGATAATTGACGAATACAAAATACATTGCTCAAAAACGAAGACAATGCATAGGTAATTTTTAAGAAATTTTTCTCAGAAATTTTTTTACACATTTTAGAAATTAAATAAAAAATACCAATTAAAGCACTGTTATCAGTAACCATATATTTTGCATGATTTACACGAGCGTATGGAATGTTTTTCTGATCGCCTATCGTTGGTACTATGAATATACGTACTTCAATAGAACCCGTTGTATCCGGCACACAAATTAGCTTTCTTTCTGCAACTTCAAAACTTGCCACAAAAATTTCATTTAAATAATTCAATATCACCGACTTAAAATGCTCCAATTCTTATTTGTTGCTCGGAAACGCTTTCGGAAAAAAAAAAGTTTTTCATAGATCCAGAATTTCACAGATCCAGAAGATCCAGAAAAAGTTTTTCACAGTTTAGCAGCAAGATCCAGAATTCTTTTTAAAAATTTTACTTTTTGTATCATAAGTTCGTTTGCAGGGTAAAGTTGAGGTAATGACTGCTAATGACTTCAAAAAAGCAAATAATGACGGTCGCGTAGTTTTCCATTTGCTTATTAATAATTTCACTTTAATACCATTGTATGCGGCTTTTCGCAAAGCATCATCGATAACAGGCCAGTATCTGCCAAACAAAAACCAGAAATCAAGAAAGTACCTTTCAAAGGAAAAAAAAAATCAACAAAAAAGGGGAAAAAAAAAAGAGAAAAGGAAGAAAAACGAAAGAAAGAAAAAATTGAAGAAAAAAAAATCAAAGTCAAAAACTACATACCTATTATTTGCTAAATATAAGGTAGTCGGGAAGTAATCCATCACTGATATATGTATAAATTTTCGAGCAGTATTGATAACATGCAAAATTGCACTAAGATCATTCATACGACCTCTGGTACAAAAAGCTGGTGGTGCACTCTGCAAAATACATTCGTCTTTTGGAAAAACAGAAAATAAAGAAGAAATTAAAATAAATAATATATTATTGAATTAGCTCAAATACTTATTATCAAATATCAGAATAATCTTTAATTATTAAAAGATTAAAAGAACGTAAAAGATGTGATACACAGAGATAAAGCAATGAATAACATAATTATGAGTTACTTTAGGGCTGAATAGGTTAACCTTACTATATAACCATCTTGTTATTTCATTTGAAATGATTGATAACTGCAACATGGGAAAATTACCGAAATGTAAACATTATTTTGTTCACCGTTAAGCGTAGTTACCATCGGATTTTTAGCGTTATAAGGAGTTGCTAGCTCGTTTGGCCATGACGATGGTAATTTCTTACCTGGTGCACCCATTTCCCAATAAACATTCATCACTTTCATTAAATCTTCTGCTAAACGCTCACAATTGAATACGCCGACACCAAGTTCTTTCACCTTAAAACACTAAATTCAAACTAATATAAGACATTTCTAAACTTTTCTAAATTTTTATTTCAAAAAGAAAAATCTCCTTAGAACTTATAAAAACAGTGTAAAAACCTTCTCAGTCCAAATATGTCAGAGTTCATAAACTAATGAATTTTTGCTGATCAATAAGTAGCTGCGTCATTTTAGTTTTCTCAAAATTTTCGAGTGTGTCGATAAAAAACAATATTTTTGATTCACCATAAAAATTTAGCTACACTTATCCTTATCCTAATTACTATACTACAACAAGTTTTAAGACCTGTGTTAAAGATCTCCAGTCAAGATTAGCCGATCCCAAATAAAAATGCTTCGAATCGACTATCCAAAACTTCGTATGTAATACTCCTGCAAAATTATGAGCTAAATAAAATGAATTTTAAATGAATGAATAACCCAGTAAATTTAAGTGCCTCAAAATTGTGTTATCTTAGAACTTGTGAAATTATATAGTAATTTTATGAGTTTTTTTATTAGTGCACTTGATAATTCAAGTAACGATTTATGGAATCAGCTATTTTAATGTTAATTTAAATACAGAACGAATAAAATTAAGTATGTCAAAATTTAATTTATAAACTTACCACTACCAAACCAATTCGAAAAATTTAAACTGCGCACTTCAGCCAGTTTCTCACTTTCTAATGTTCTGGTCTCATTATTATTTTTTGCGTCTTGAACAATTCGCAATTTGATGCCTTTTTTTGCTGCTTCAATCAATGCATTGTATATATCAGCACCCTTAAAAAATACATAAAAATCAAAGAATATAAGTTCGACAGAATCTCAAGGATTAAAATAGCACTCCAAATTTTGTCTGTAATTTTTCTAGATGTGTTGAAATTAATTAATATGAATAGTTAGTTATTTGTCTAATAAAAAATTGTTATTAAACATTATTAAGTTTGAAAACAAACATCTTGAGTTGATGGACCTCTATATGAGCCAGTATTTTCTGAAAGTAAACTCCAGTAAAATGATGCGATATCAATCGACTTTTCAGCTGAACCAATTAATCGTTTCCATATTTCAGTTGTTGAAGGAAAATTTGACTGCACAGGATAAGTCATATTTTCGGGTATTGATTCCACAAAATGAAATCTAAAATTTATATTTCCTCAATGAAATAGCTAAAAATAATTTTTGCATAAACTTAATATGAAAAAAGCAATGATTTATCCTACATTTCAAAAAAAAAAAAGCTTACACCACCTATATATACATCTCTTAATCCTAATATAGGTTAAAATTTCAGCAACGCATCAGCTTTTTTCAAACATTTATAATAAAAAACTACCATTATCAATCTCTGTCAAATTTCAAATTCAATTCTTTTAAAGTGGACTTTCTATTTTTTTTTTTATAGGAAATGTAATAAAATTAAAATTAAGTTGAAAAATATTCCGAGAAAAATTTTTATGAACATATGGAAAAGTATAGTGACAAATTATCACTTTACATGATTTAATAACTTTTAGTCAAATTAAAATTACAAGTGTATCATCATTAAACATTCATTACCTAAATACATTATCAGTTGTTACTCATCGACTGTATTCTATGACAATAATTTAAGTAAACATTTTATACACGAAAATAATAAATGAAAATATTGAAAAAAAAAATAAATAAAAATAAAAATGGAAATAAAACTAACTCGCAATTTTGTTGGCATGACTTATTGGAAAAGAGAAGCTTGGATGATGCTCCGGTCCAATTCAACGATAAGCCATATTTACTTGATGCCAAGAAGAGAAATACCTAAATGAAATATTCAAATTATACACAATAAGAAATTTAGAATATTTGAATAAAGAAAAAAAAAAAAAGAAAGAAAAGAAATTATTTTCAAAAATGATACAATAAATTTTGTTATAGTTGTAAAAATTGTGCAATTAATATAAATAGGAAAAGAATATGTGAGCAGTTTGAAGAGAGTAAAAAGATTGATAAAAATTTGAAAGATTAATAAAACTTACCTTTGTACAAAGGGTACACATTCCGGATAACTTTCAGAATATTTCCATTTTACCGTATAACACCATCCGGAAATGAATTAAGCCATTCCCATTGTTAGCAATTCTTCATGTTTAAATTTCAAAAAAAAAAAAAAAAAAGGAAAACTCTAAGAAAGCAATATTTGCAATCATAATAAACTCTTTGAGATATTGAAGTAACAGAGAGCAGGTATATGAAGAGAATTAGAGATTGTTCGAATAGGAGAGAATGGTAGGCTTTGATAGAATTAGTGAGATAATATGTTAACTCTTGTTATAGTTGTAAAATTTGAATAATCATAGAGAGGAAAATAGTATGAGTAATTGAAGAGAGAAGAAAGACTGATAAAAAATTGAAAAGATAATATTGGAATTAAATGGTGGTTATTAATTATGATAATCATTAAGAGCGAAAAATGAAGCATTTAAATGTTACTTTTAAGGATTTTTAAATTAGTGAGAAGAAAACTTTAGAGTAAGTATGAAAGTATAAGTTAGTTCTAAGTAATTAAGTTTAGTAAATTATCAAAAAATAAAATAAATAAATTAATTAATTAAAATTAATTTACATAGTGCTGCTTTAAAATTGATAAGGTTTGGCCTATCTCATAACAAAATTTAGTCTATTTGGCTTATCATGTTTGGCCCTATCTCATTGACTGTTATCCTAGCCAGAAGATGGCAACTGTCACTTGGATGAAAAAGCATGGACAATAGCGCAAATAAAGCGGTAATTGCACCGAACCATTGAAATAATATATCTTTAGTATAATATCTGCAATTTTCAGTCTTTGATTTTCTTTTTTTCCATCTTTCTATAATAGTTGCTAGGTGAGATTTTATTTTTTAAATATCCAAGAAGCATAAAGTGCTTAGGTGGAGGAATATTTTGAAGCTTAAAGTTATAATCGTTATTTTGAAAACAACTATGTATCCTAGCCAGAAGTATTCTAGCCTCATTAGCTTGATTATCAATAAAATTAATGAAATTCTAGACTATTTTATTATTATTTATTTTTTTTTTTGAACTAATGAGGCTAAAAAAAAATAAGCCTAAGCCTAGTTAAGTAGTGATTACATGAAGTATTTTTTTATTTGTGCTTCGATAACTTTACATTACTTCCTTTTTCATTTTCCGACTTTCATCTTTTTATTTATGTATATCCTTTTACATAAGTTTTTTCATATTTTAATGAAAATTTTTAAACAATCAGATTTAATTAGTCAAAAATTTATTATTCAATTTCATTTCAAAAAATTCCCACTGAAAAGACTTAGAATCTCTTCTTTTTGTTGCAACAAAAAAAAAAAAAAAAAAAAAAAAACAGCAAATTAATTAATTAAAATTTATTGCAATTAGAAGATATGAACAGAATGCAATCATTTGAAATGATAAAACAGTAACTATCATAAATTATAAGTGATAATGATAATAAAAAATTCTTTTTGAAAAATTAATAAATCCTTCAATTAAATAATTTTTGTAATTTATAATAATTACAAGCAATATTTATCAGTTGTTTGAACAGAATCTATTAACAAATGTTATTAAAAAATAAGTGAAAAATAGTTGTAGATAAAAGAACTTATCAGAATTCAATAACCATCTGTTACTTTGAAATCTTTTTATTCGAGAATCAGTGATAACATCATTGTGATAGCTAATCATTTCCATCTATTTGTTATCATTTTAACAGTGTGAAGCATATCTTTGCAGTGTTATATTAATTCATATAATCTTCATACTAACAATTACTTTTAATTAAGTTAAGAAAAGAATCAATCAAATATGCTAATTAGTGAAAAAAAAGTAAAAAGACAGTTATTAATTAATAAATTAGAAAGAAAAATGACTAATCCATTGGTGATTAATATATATTACTACAAAAATGTCATTTGTTAATAAAATGTCATAATAATAATAATAATAATAATAATAATAATAATAATAATATTACTAAAAAATGTCTTCTAAAAAAATGTATATATTACTACAAAAATGTCATAATAATAATAATAATAATAATAATAATAATAATAATATATTACTAAAAAATGTCTTCTAAAAAAATGTATATATTATTACAAAAATATCATTTGTTAATATAATCATAATAATAATATGTATTACTAAATATATCTTCTAAAAAACTCATTTCAAAATTGTATTAGCACTGAAATTGTCCCCAAAATGTCATCAAAACCTTTATGACTTATTTGAGTAAATGACATCAATAAATAAACAATAACTTATCGATTAAGATATATGCAAAATCCAAATTTTATTCCATAAAAATAAAAACTATTAAGAATATAAAGAAAAAAAAAACGTAAAAAAAACTAAGCTGAAAAAAAAAATAAGCTAAATTAAATTTAATGAGCTGAATTAAAAATGATTGAAATAAAAAAGAAATGAATTTAACTATCATTAAGTTTTAAAACATTTTAACATTCTCTGAATGTCAAATTTACAATATATCACATAAAACTGTGTAATCTACTTAAGGTATAAGTATTAAACTTCATTTTAGCATTTCATTCTGAGAATTAATAAAGATATTATTAAAGCTATTTAACTGGTTGTAAAAAAAGAAAAAATTCCTTTAAATTTAGAAAAATTTCCGAAAAATTCTCATATTTTTCATTGATCTTGTAATAAATATTCTCCAAAAAGAATGAAACTCGAATAATAAAACTTAAATAATGAAATTTTATTAATCATAATAAAATATGTCAAACTATGCTCAGTTTGCTAAAATGATAATTTGTTTACATTTTATTTTATTTTAAAAGAATGTGTTTCGTTCATGCAGTAGTAGTTTTAATAAAAACCACAATAATAATAATAGTAATAATAATAATAATGATAATGATAATAGCAATGATAATAATAATGGTTAAAAAATAATAACAATAATAATAATAGTAATAATAATAATGGTAAAAAAAATAATAACAATAATAATAATAATAATAATGGTAAAAAAAATAATAATGACAATAATAATAATAGTAATAATAATAATAATGACAAAAAATAATAATACTAACTAATAATAATGAGAATAAATATTAATAGTAATAGTAATAGTAATAATAATAATAATATGAAGAAAAAAGAAAAGATCATCTTATATTAGATTTTCAAAAGGATACGAAAAAAATTATTATTTGGTATAATTACAACATAATATAATTTTTCAATGATATGAAAATATATTATTGATTAAATCGATCAATCAAATCAATCAATAAATTATATAAATCATTGTTAATAAACAAACTATAATGAACAACAACGAACAGATAAATATGATCTAAAACAATAAGGTGAATTATATTAAAATTATTTTAATTTTCATTTATAGAAATTATATATTTTCATTGTTCACTTCGAGTAATAATTGCATTTCTCTAATTTTCATTTTCAAATAAACAAAAATTTAAAAGGAAAAAAAGAAAAACAATATTTTAGATATTATCATCTTCTGATGAGAGGTATTTGATAAACTAACAGATAATTTAAAAATGATAAAATTTTTTACATTTCAAAGTAATATTAAAATTAAAAAATCTAACTTTTAAAAGTTAAGAAATGAATGCTTAAAAATATTACACTAAAACATTTACAATAGAGAGAGAAAATTTAAAAAAAAAATCTAAAATTACTTTTTTCTATTTATTTCATCTTTCTCATTTTTAAAATAACAAACTTCAAAGTTATCTATTTTCTTCCTTCCTTTCTTTTTTTAAATAGCAATTGTGAACTTGAAATTTTCAAATTAAATATTTGAATGTGGTGGTATTATTCAGGAAAATTTGTCAATCAGGAAACCAATCAGGAAATTGAGAATTTTATTGCTATCTATAATGTAAATCATCTTTATCAATTCATGGCAAAATAATATTTCATCAGGTAATTATGGATGTGTTATTCGGAATTTCGGAATGCCATCGTTTAGTTTTAATTCAAGTGATTAAAGGTTGAATGAGAATTCAATTCGGTTTATTTCCATTTCTGAAATTAATAAATATGAAAATTTTTGAAATGAATAAATTTTATTAAAAATATCTTGTAAACAGCAATTTACTGCGTAAATTAAAATGAAATTCATTTCATGCAAATATAAATATTCATGAAAATAAAAATTGTATTTTAATTAAAAATAAATAATATACTAATTTATCTTAACCATTTCTAAATTAGATGGTTTATTTCAAATAATCAAACTTAGGTAAATTACTAACTTTGGGTAAATTACTACCACTTGATGAATTCCATTTCTGATAATTTCAATTATTTCATTGTCTATTTCAATTATTTTATGCAATTTATTTTTCAGAAAATTAGACGAAAAATTAATTATTACCAATGGCTCATTGAGATATAAGCGCAAAAATACTCAAAAAAGTTGCGGGTAAGTAATTCAGGGCAAAACTATCCCAAAATATATTTGAATTCAAATAATCAAATATTAACAATTACATTTTCTTTATTCCATGCACATTTATTTATTTATTTATTTATTCCACGTTTTCGTTTTTTTTTTTTTCAACGAAATTCAAATTTAATACCTTTAACATTAAATGAAAATTATATTATAAAATGTTTCATCAGAAATGATTGAATAATAATTGAGTATTTTCAATTTGAATTTCAGTCTTATCCTAAAAAAAAAAAAACATAATAAATGTTGGATAATTTCTTTTCTTAATTAATTTATCTGATTATTGGCTTCAATTTATTGAAATTTAATTTGAATCTCGTTTAATCTGTCCTACAATTTATAAATCATACAATTCTATTAGAAATTATGTGGGCATCTAAATTTAATAAAACACTTTCATATTTAGGCGGTTATTGTCACTATTCATTATCCGCCTCTTTTCTTTTTTTTTGTTTTCATTAGGCTCGTTTTCATTTAGTAATTAATTATATGATAAATTTTTATTTGATAATTAAATAGAAAATGATAAAGGTACCTTTTATTTTAATAATTTTT